AAGCCTGTAGCGATGCCCAGGGTAAAGAAAACACCTCCATCCCGCTCCTCTAATACCTCAGATCAAAAACATCTTTAAGAACAACAAGAAGATAACAATTTAAAGTTATTGCTAAAGGTATAGTATCTACCTTTTATTACAGAAAAAGGAAATGGAAGATGAAATTCAGAAGTACAGATGATATGTTTAGGGTCTGAATGGCACAAATAGCCTGTCATACTCTCCAAAGATACTAATTTTTCTTTTTCATCCGCCATTGCTTCAAATCTAATCCCACGTACCAGGGATAAGGGTGACATTGCACACACCATAATTCATTTTTCAAGCAGTTAGTATAATGATGAGTGCTTAGTCCCTGTGGATGGGACCCGCCCAACTGGGCAGAACAGCAAGCTTGTTCGCTGTCCATAGGAATTTAAAGGCTTGCAAGTTGAAGAGATTTCCACAATAGCTGCTGTTTCCTACTTCAGTCTCCCACTCCCATTTACCAGGCGGAGAAGAGAAAAAGAATACACTGACACACTGCTTATTGCTGTTCAAATCCTTGTGATCATCTCAGCTCACACCAGTCATAGAATCATAGTCACAGAATGGTTGGGGTTGGAAGGGCCCTTAAAGCCCATCCAGTTCCAACCCCCCTGCCATGGGCAGGGACCCCTTCCACTAGACCAGGTTGCTCAAAGCCTCATCCAGCCTGGCCTTGGACACTTCCAGGGATGGGGCAGTCCTTGCAAGGTCCAAACAGTGCAACTCTTCCAATGATTCTGCATATGCTCCAAAATCACCCTGCACAACATCTTTTTGCCCTGGCATCTCTCTGCCCTCCCACCTTTGCAGTAATATTCTAGCAGCGTATTTGCGACGCATTTTACGCAAAAGCAACGGCCCCAGCTAAATCCAACTCCCCCAGCGTGCTGTACTGCTGTACCTTGAAGGATATTTCAGTTGTCATCGTGAATCCGTGTGTAATGACCGGCTCCTCTTCAGCTGTTCGTCCTTTCCAGCAGTCCAGCTCCACACAGCGGCAGCCTGACAAAAGCACTTGCCGATACATCTCCACCGATGAGTTACCGGCCAGCTGTCCAGCTGCGAGAGCACAAGGACAGGAAAACAGGGAATTCATTTTGGGCCTCGGGAATGAATACAAACAATCTAATAATAATTCAAGTTAGCAGCATCTTTTGCCCTTGGCTGAGAGCAATAACACTCAAAGGCTTACAAAAAGCCTAAGAATGTAATGGAAATGACTTAGGCAAAGTCAACGTCATGGTTTAGATTCTGCCCTCAGTTCAACTGGAAGTGCGGAGAAATAACCGAACTGAAGTCAATTCAGAAACTTCTGATAGACAGAACCAAATACATAAAATAACTCATCTCTGTAAGACACTGTTATCCTTTGACAGGCAACGCGAAATTCAGAGGCGACTCAGGACGGCAAGACCACATTTTCTCATAACACGCAATGCGGTTTAATACGAGATAAAACAAACCTCCAGTCACTAATGGTACCATTACCAGGTCTCAAATCAATATTTAATACACTAATCACCGCACTGAGTCGGTCAGTTAAATTTCCTGATGTGGGACTGCATTATGCAGGGAGAAATTTAATTAAACCACCGGTTTCCAACAATGACATAATATACATCTAAAAATAAACAAAATAAACAAACTCAGCTTTTCCCAAATTCCAGAAGTATTTAAAAGTCCCACAACCCACCCCCACCCTCCCCCAAACAACAAAGGAGTCCAGCTGTATGCAGGGAAGTATATCCAGCCATGGTGTCTTCAGCTGCCACAACAGGTTTGATTCCTGTCATACGGATAAAAAATTCTCACAGCAAAGAGGTAAAGGTAACGGAAGAATGGATTAGTGCTTGTTTTAGATGTGAAGAAAATGGATGCATTTTCCTGCTTTCTAGCAGGCTTCCTGAGAAGACCTTCCTGGATTCCCTGAAGGGAATTCACTTGCTTTTTAAGGAGTCAGTGTGTTCATTTACGTTAAAGATTTTTCACTCATGAGGAACACCTAAATACTATAGAATGCAGATTACTCCAGTCTTCGTTTTATTGTCTCTGTGGCTCTGTGTTTAGGTTTTATGCTGGGAACTACATGTTTTGGGGTTTGTTTCATTAAATAGCACTGCCTGCTTTCTCTGGGTTTTTACCTTCCACTAACAACTGTAACAGAAAACCCCTTCTATTTGAAAATTCCTGTTTACTGTTCGTGTCTGGTACATGAGCTGGAACAATCATAAATACTCCACAAGGTATTACTATTACTCCTGTTGAAATTCCCAAGATTTCTCAGCTCCTGATGGAATCAAGGGGAAATAACATGTTAATAACAGAAGACTTTGGCCAGTGCTGGAAGGTTCTGAAAATCCAACTTGACTATGTGTCTCTTTTTATTTTTTAGTTAAATTTTACCGTGTCTCCCCTTTGATTGGAGCAGGTTGTCTTTAACACAAAAACCTTTTTGGTACTGTCCCAATGTCTGGGGTAAGCAGCAGCTCTTTTTCCTCACAGGATGCAAACAAGCACGAACATGTATCAGGGAACAAGACACATTTCTCTGCGCTCATCCCTAAGCACCTGCTTATGAAAACTTGGGTCTCATTATATGCATCGGCTGAATTCTGCTGCCTAAAAAAAATCATTCACTTAGAAAACTGTTTTCCTGTTGTCTTTTTTTTCCCTCAGAGCATATTGAATTTGGATTAACAAACTATTTTATGATTAACAAACTCTACTATACCACCTGAGAGACTAGTGGTTGTTATTATTGCCAAGCATTTTGGACTACAAGCACCTTAACCTTCAAAAGTGTGTAAATAAATCATGACATGCACCTATGACACTTCTCCACAGTACCTTAATAATAAGGCTCAGGTGTTTCGGAAGGGTTCCTACTAAAGATGAGAGAATATTCAACCTCCAATCTTCATAAAGACTCCCAGTCAGAGTGCAAAACACTAGCAAATGTTCTGACGTTCTCAATAGCTTATTTTTCTGAAATAAGGAATATTAGGAATGTTCCCTCAAATGGTTTTTTGCATATATTATTTATAAATTTCTGTTGTGTGAGTCTCTACTTGCATCTATTTCAAACTGTCCCTTTAACATGCATTCTAAAACGTGCAAACACAGACACTAAAGGGAATATTTACAGGATATTTTTAATATCCTGAGAACAGGTAATTTTTCTTTTAATACAGGAAATTGAAATCATTATGTATTCCTTTCTACAGCACATGCAACAACTACAATAATACAGTAATATTTGTATCCCATCACCGTATGTTGGATAAGGAGAAACAGATTTTGACAAAAACTCGGTTTTCTAAAAATATAATCGGACAAATCATACCTGACAGGACACTAAGCAAAATGAGCCCGTGCTAATTGATACAAGCCAAGGATATGACACGTTTCCCTATACAGATCAGTTCGACAATTCTGTAACTTTAAGCTGCTCATTTCTCAGCCAGTGCATCCTTGTTGGGTTCATTCATCACCACTTTCCCAAGTGAAAGTTATTGGCACTACAGGGACTTAAAATTTGGTTACCATTTTAAGATACGTATCCTCCAAAAAACGGGGAATATTTGGATCTCAATATTTGGATCTCAATATTTGGAGTCAGAGACCCTTCACTACTCTGGAAACAGAGGCTGCTTCTGGCTCCTTGCCCATCCACGGCACCACCTTGTCCCATCATGAAGTGCCTGTGTATGTGCACGAACACGAGTTGCTAAACCTGCTTGCTTCAGACAGGTCCTGGAAAAGCAATCGGTGCTCCGGAACACACACTGTAGCTTGGAGTGTGCAAACGCAGAGTCCCGTACTGCCGGGAGTCTGGCTCTTGACTCCGGCAGCAACACAAGGTGCTGGCAGCTAAGGTTTTTCTTTTTTTAGACACAGTATATTTACCTGAATTTATTTTCCTTCTGAGTTACTTTGCCATGCACAGGAGAAGCGAATTAGACCCCATGCTGGGACATCCTCTGCTACTGCTGGTACGTAAGTCAAAACCGGGCTCTTGCCCTACGGCTGTTATTTTTAACACTCTGCCTTGGACCAAAGCAGGACATGCGGCCAGGCTTGCTCCAGCCAGCAGCAGGAACACCTCGCTGTCACTATTGATTCAGGCCCTCCCAAGCAGAAGATGCAACACTCCGTATGCCAGGAGGGCTGGGGCTGGCCAGCCTCTGAGTTGGCCTTTCTGCTCAGCTGCCAGCAGTGCCTGGGCAGCTCCCATGCCGCAGCCAGGCTACGTGACGGACGCCATCCGGACGGACCCACTTGAGACAGACACACTGCATGACTGACCAGTTGAGTCTCTCCAACTGCAGCGAGGGGGTGGGACCCACCAGGACCTACTTACAGAGCTTTCCCCCGCTGCTCGCTCTCCGTGTCTCTGTCTTACACATTTCAGCAATTCAGAGAAGTTACCCAATCCTCAGCACAGTTTTACCCTCCTTAAAGAGAGGGGTTTAGCAAATAACTTTCAGTGTGCTTCAACTGGTTGGAAATCAGAGAAGGCACAGAGGATCTTGGAAATTCACAGACCAGTGGTGAATGAAATATTACTTAAAGGAAACAAACCACTTTCACGATCTTGACTTTTCTTCTCCTTGAGAATCCACTTATCTCAGATCAGACCAAACAATATATATTTTTAAACTCTTTATGTTCACCTCTGCTGCTGTTAGAAGCAAGCTTCCTCTAGAAATTTTGGTGTCAGTTGCTGATTTATATTAGAATAATTAATTTTGCCTTATGGATACAATCGCTGTGATTTTTTCATTCTCCTTTACAGGATTTCCACCCACTTTAAAAGCAGAAATTCCATCAGTTCGGGTCTGGCTTAACACAGAGGGAATTGGCAAGGGTGAAGCTGGTAAGGAAGGGCAGGTACCCCTTAGGATAACAAAACCATGACAGAGCAGAAGACCTAAGGTATTCTTACACAAAGTCTACTTAATTGAGTGGTCATCTTCTCACAAAATCCAAACTGTCTCAGCGGAAGGTGCAAGAGAGTCAGGCACATGGGAATCACCATGTTGTTAAAGCTAATTTTTTATACATAGGATTCTTTTGGAGAGCAGGGCACTGAACTGGTTATCTCGGAAAGTTCCATCTAAGACCTTCCACAGACTATGTTCCCACTTCCTGAAGCAACAAGAGCTTTCCCTTGGCTGATTATTTTGTAAGGGCTCTAGTCAATTCAACAGTGCAACTGTGGAAGCAGCTTCTACTGTTGCCCTGAACAGGCCACAGAGCCCAGAGAGTGTCTGTAGCTTCTTCCTGTGAGGTGAACTCGTGTTCTAATTAACTGCATCGCTGAAAACAGCCTTTTCCTCCGTGTTACACCAGGTTTTATCATGTTCTAATTAACTGCACCGCTGAAAACAGCCTTTTTCCTCCGTGTTACACCAGGTTTTATGATATTTTGAAAGTGAATCATGAAAGATAACAACAGGTGGAAGATAAATCTCCCCGATAAACTACTGACAGATGGGAGAGATGCACAACAACCACTACTCCTTCTTTTTACCCCTTAGTCCCTGTGCTAAGACAAACTGTGACCCCAGTGCCAGGAAGAACCTCATTTATCTGCTTAGATTGCTGGACAGGATTAGCTGACGGGAGGACAACTACAGCTCCCCTCTGCTGCAGGAGCTCTCTCAGCTTTCCTACCCTCCAGTCCGTCAGGAAGGATGTGGTGGGACTGGAAGAGAGCAGAGTCTAGGGTCTTGCCAGCCAATCACCTGAGCTCAATGCAGCAGCCAGCCAAAATCTGGTCTTGGTGGTATGACAAACTCATGCTCAGACCAGGCATCACCCAGATCCCCTTCTTTTTGACATGGTGCTGTCATCTTGGAAACTGCGAAGATACTGTTATGGAGGCTTTGAAAGTGGAGAATGTTTCAAGGAAGTGTTGAAAATAAGCAACAACAGTTAGGACTGAGGAATCACTGAAAACAGAAAAGCTGGAGGATGGTAGAGAAGAGGCCACAGCAGCAATAAAGAAGAGAACATGCCCCTTGTGAGCTATTTTTCTAGAAGCACCTGGAAGTACTGGGCTGTAAGCAGGGAAGCAGATGCCGAGGGTGAGGATAGTCCCATGTTGGCTATGTGTGCTAAACTGACAGCTCTGCAACCTACTGCTGCTATTACTTTTCCTTTTCTCCAAAGAGAAACCATGCATTAAAAGCTTGCGTTGGTATCTTGCACTTCATACATACAACAGCAAGCTGCACAGCCATCAACGCGTGCAATGCTGCTAACGGTACGTAATCATTTGTCTTTGACTCTGGGTGCTGCCGAGAGAAACGCTGCACAGTCACTCCCCACTGTGACAACAGCAGTAACCTGAGGTGAGACTGGTGAGAAACCAGAAAAAAGCAGGGTTGCACATTAAGGGTTCAAAGGAGTAAATGAATAAATATGATACCAGTGAGAAAAAACATGAGAGACAGTAAAATAGTTTCCAAAGGATGGCATTTCTTTGAGCTAGCCTAGGTTCACTATAAATCACTTCTTTCCTCATGGATTTTTACCTTTGTTCTTAAAAATTACATTTCCCTACTAAAAAAAAAAAAAAAGCAGTAACACTTCTAAATAAATAATCAGGACTTGATGTACTGCCAAGGGTTTCTACCAAAGGCTAGGAAAATGATCAGCGTAATTAAAAATAAATTCAGAGTGTGCACATGTTTCTTTTTATGTTATAATGTTGTTTCTTTGTCCATGCTTTTTCTGGGTTTAAAAACTAACAAAGGGAGAGATAATTAGTAGGGCATTAAGCACAGTAATCATAAAGTATTGCTAGACTGAGCAGTTTTCTTATTGTCCTAATAATGATCACACGACTAGACGCTATTTCACAGCTCCAGCGAGGGCAGAGGTGCTACCGAAGCGTCCCTTCCAAAGCCACAAGCACTTGAGCAGACCCTTCCAAATCTTCTTGGGAAAAAGAACACTCTGCCACCATTAACTGTATTACTTTCACTAAGTCCGCGTTGGAAGAAAGCAAACGGCAATGTGATTGCTGTATCTGGTCTAACCTTAAAGCAAAATCTAATGCTGTCAGTTTTTGTAATACACAGATAAAAATCAAATCATTAATCCCATTGTCGGCCAGCTGCCACATATTTACTGAACATAATGAACGCACTAAAAGGGAAGGGCTTGTGTTTTGTGCCTGTAAATGTGAAAAAAACCCCCTCTTAAATGGAATTTGAAAGGGATTCAAAGTTACTCTGCACTATCCCCTGAGTTTATTCTGATTTACTCCCTCCAATTTACTACGCCAGGTATAACATGTTAAATGAAGGCAGACTTCCAACTGTAGCTGCTGAAATTATTTAGAAATGAGGGCAAAGAAACCTGTAGATGCAATCCGAGATGATTTGCAGACGTTCACATACAAGTCAAAGTGAATTGGAAAGTCTAAAGGTAAACTTTCATTCTTCTAAAGTAATGAAATATGTAAGGTCACTTGTGGTGCAGTTCAAAAAATTTACAATAGGTTGGACTAATCATGAATTTTCATCCTTAATTCTTTGTTCTTTGGCTCCTGGGCTTCTAGACCTTTAGAACACAACTCTGTCCTGATCAGCCCTGAGAAAAATCTGTGGCATGGTTATAAATTCGTGCTGGTAGAGGGGAGAGCAGCGTTTTATCTCTTCAGACCAACTTTAAACCGCACTGTCTGTCCTCCCCGTGGGCCTCTGCTTCCCACATTGGTACAACAGCTTTGCTGTTTTCCTCCAGAAAATCTGTACAAAGCTGCAGCATTTGGCTTAAGTGGGTCCTAATCCTCACTGGCAGAACAAAGTCTGTCCTGGAGGTAAGAGGCCTGCAAAATATCGTAATTAAAAATTGCTTTTGCTTTGGACATGTCTGCATTCTTCCAAGGAGCATAAATTTCTGCATATTGGAATCATAACTTAGAAGTGGCCACACTGATGTTCATTTCTTTCAATTCAGAGCAACAAAATAGCTGTCAAGCCCAATACTCAGATGACAAGTTTTAGCACAAAACATTTTACAGCCAAGATATAAACCTCTGAAAAATGGTGCCTAATGGAAGCAATGACAGTTCATTCACTCTATGAAAGCACTCGAAGGTGCTATAGAAAGTGATGTAAAAAACACAAAACAGATGAAAGTCACTTCCAGACGGCCTATTTAAAGTAGGCATTACCACTGCATGGTTTGGTTTATGTTTTGGCGTACTGGCATTCTGAGTAACTCGGTCAGTCAAGGCAAGTCTGTTAACAACACCGAAAAGCCTACATGATCCATTAGCCACATTTTGAGCACACGCTGTAGCATTACTTCTTTTTTTTTTAGCATAATGCTAAGACATTAGCAAACACGACAAGACAAAGCAAACATCAAATCAAATAGAACTCCCAGTGCGCATCTTGTCAAAAACATTTGTGCCTACATAAACTAGACTAAAATAGTAAATTTACAATTATTTTCTCACAAGTTAAGAGCATCTTAGACTAGAAAATGAGTGCCAGAAGTTGGGTTACTAAACTGTCGTAGTGTTTTCGGAATCTTAAAGCATTGTTGACTTTGCTGTGCAAACAATACATTTCAGACTCATTAACTCTAATTCAAATTAACAGGAGCTTCTGGGTGCCCAGCCTTTTTAAAAATGTGAAAGCACCTAAAAATTTCAGCTCAGAGAGTAGATATAGTCAGAGACTGCATTTCCATTCCTTGCAGATATGAATGCAGAGTGAGAAAGCTATGTGCCACGTCGGGACCTCTCTAATCCCCGAGTCAAAGCAAATTTCATGGAGATCAACTCTCAGATTTAATATTTAGGGGCAAATTTATTAGCTACAGAGATGTTTCCTATATTTCGCTTCGCATTCCTGTTTGGCTATCCCTGGCTGTCATACAAAGTATATTGTTCCTCCTCCTCCTCAAATAAGGACCTTAATCTGAAATCTTATCTCAGCTGAGGGGAACTTTCCATGGACTTCCCTGGGCTTCAGACCAGACTTTATCTGAACGACACAGTTGCTGTTGACCTGTTAATAAAAGTCTATTTGATGTGTGTGTAGCAGCTAGAACAACAATCAAGTGCTACCCTTGCTTCCCTGAAGACTAAGCTTCGCCATCACTTACCGCTGACGTCTTTAGTGCATTTCATGGTATCACTGCAAATATGCTATGAATTTTTGTCACGTAAGAAATCAGATCTCTCCAGCACTGTACCTGTGAGGTAGGTGTTGTGTGAGGAATTGATGAAATAGTGTGACAGTGGTTGAGACATATCTTCATTTAAATCCAGTTTCTCAGGTGGAACAACGCCGTTTTCTTCGCCACTCAGATACCGCATAAATCCATCCACCGATATCTGTCCTGAGAGAAACACAGATCCCGGGAAAGCACCAATTAATTTCACGTACAGATTTTGTGTCTATATGTTCGATACAGACTTACACAACAGTGTGTGAAAGATGGTGTAATCATCAGACTGGCCTTCATCTAGTTATTCATATATTATTTTGCTACTATTACCTCATTTTCAGCCATATAAGCTCCAGGTAGTGCACATGCCTTTACCAGTACCAAAGATAAATCATTTCATAACTGGTGTCCACAGAAAATTAAGGGCACGGGGGAATCAGAGTTACAGAGGGCTATAAGAACAGAGAAAATAAATCAAAGCCTATCAAGAAAGGATATCTTGTGGGGACAAAATAAAGCACCTTTTTCAGAGGAAACCAAGAAACTGGTAGACGGAAAGCCACACAAAAAAACAGGTAACTTTGACCTCTTTTGAGTAAGATTCAGTAGGTATGTATGAATCCAACTCAAGTGCAAAGCAAACCAAGGAAATGAACCACGTTTCAAGTGGGAACTAAGCTTTGCTTTGTAATTCTTATATTTGTCTTCCAATTCATATCTCATTGGAGTGCCAGCATAAATGATCGGTTCATACGCTGCTGGCACGTGAGAATGCTAGACCTATCCTCAGTTTAAATATCACCATTGATCTCAGTGAAGCTGTGCTTATTACCATCAGGATTAATTTCTCTGTCAAACATTCTGCATAAAGCTAATTTTAGGGTTAGTGTCTAATTGTACACTTAGACTAAATCCAGTAGTAAATACATATTTGAAGATTAACGCTTAACTGAACAAATTTGAGACATTTTTCTTTCCCTGGTATTTTTGTTACATTTTACCTGTGGATTTACTCAACCACCTAACTTTCATTAATTCAGTTACTTCCTATAGTAAAACAGACCTTCTGTATCTCTGAAGAACCCTGAGGCAGCTATGTGCCTTGGTGACTCCCAACAATGAGAATTTCTTACCTCTTGTCCCAAGTCCAACATATTCTGCATAGTATCTCTATCAAAAAAAACCCCTTAGTTGACTGACTATGGCATTGAAAAATGGAAGACTTCAGTTCTACTCCTAACTCTTCTACTCTTTCCTTTTAGGGTCAATCCATTTTTAGCTTAAAACATATAAACCTACATTTTTTTTTCTAGTATATGAGAAAAAGATGGCTTGTAACCACAAGATGCAAATATGGCATGCAAAGCATTTACTTAAAATCTGTGCTTGTAACCTACGATTTGGCTCATCATCAGAGAGGAAAAGATACAACAGTCTTAAGTTCAGATGCCTCATTTTCCTAACAGCCAAAGATGGTGGCACTAAATGAACCTATTCACGTGACAAGAAATGTAGCGACAATACAGAGCAATGCAATTACCATTCATTCTTATGACAACAATTGTAAGATGGTTAGAAGGAAAAACATCAAGTCCATCCACTATTTTAAGACTGTAATCTGAGTGCAATCTTGTCAGGCTCCACAGCTGCTTTGTTAGAGTAATTAATCAGCCACAGACAGAGGCCTATGCACTTTCCTCTTCACAAGGGAAAATGTAAGATGGAGAAGATCAGGCAAAAACCACCACTGAAGTTTTTCATTAAATTAAAGACTTAGGGACAACCAATCTGCTGCGTGAACCTATTAGAGAGATATGAGTATAAACAGTACCAGGTGGTACCATGGAGTTAACTTGAGCTAAAATCCACTTAACAGAATCACTGTGCACTGAGTTCACTGGGACAGAGATACGGTCTGCGGTGTACATTCACACCACAGAAGCAACATCATACAGGAAAAAATGGGTAAGATCAGAATGGGATAGCTGCTACACGGGGAACCAGCAAAGCCACGTCATGTTAGAGTGCTTTGCAACTTCTGATGTTTGAGATAGCTCATCCAGAGCCATCTTCAGTCTCTCCGTGTTGTTTTGAACAGCCAGACTAGGAGGCTTAAAGTCGCTCTGTCATTCCTGTCCCAGGCTAAAAGGAAACATAGTGGTTCTCATACACACAATTCCTCAAAAAACCTGTGGCATCAAAAATCACACAGTGTTCAGACAGGTTTTCACTCTGTCACACAGATACGCATGTCAACTGAAGCAGACTTAGTCTTCCTGCACCTCAAAGTGATCTGTGTTTAACCTGCAGAGTATACCTGAAAAACAGGGTCCTTGCAGTCCTGGTTTATCTGATGGAGACCTGAAGCGCAGGATAAATTAAGAGACTGGACAATATCAAATGGAAAACCTGTGGATTAAGCTGGCAGTTAAACTGCACAATGTCCTGAAGCCTGTTTGGCTGAACTTGAACACCTCTGGGATAAAAAGAAGCAACTCTCTATTTTGTGGTTCATTCTGCTTCTTTGCTCCCTTCCACCCTGAAGTAAGACCAGGTTTGCAGAGTGGTCCTTCTGCATATTGCCGCTGCTATTAACATAAATCACAGCAAGTATTATTCACGCGTATAATTACATAGCTTCTGAGTTACACAGTTATCTGAGCTTATGGCTGTAGAATGCTATTTTCCCCATCATAATTAAGCAGTCAGAATTTCAGAAAGTGAAGCAATTTTCAAGTGCAATTACAGCCAGTATTGCACCAGTGAGAGTTTGACTGTGGAAGGGAGATGGCAGATGTCAAAGGGACTTTGTAACCTGGATATTAGAGAGTAGATTGTTTGTGACCAGTGTCAATGATATTCTGAGACCAACCGCAGTGAAGACGATCCTTGGTGGACAGTCATCCAAATTGAAATAGCCCCAATTTATTGGTAAGAATTGTTCTCTGCTTTCTTAAGCATATTACAAATTTACTGCAGACATTGCCAAGAAATAATAATTTGTGATCAGTTCTTTCCATTACAGCTGTCACCTTTTATCTTCAGATATATATTAGGAAGATTTAATGATATGATTAGATATACAAAGTTAGATGGAAAAGAAAGACAACAGCCAAAGACACAGAGACAAGACAGATTCACTTTTTTTTTTTCCTTGCACATAATTGCCTTAAAATCATCTGAACCCTAGGTCTTTGATGAAATTTTAAAAATAACCCATGTGCTTGATATACTTAAAATTGCGGAGCTAACTGGCTTGTCTTGTTCACTCACCGTTGCCACGTTAAATTCGTTCCGATGTCACTTATTAGGCGAGAGGCAGAGCCAAAGCTCCCTGGTGTTCGTTGAAACGCTCCCATCAACTTCAACAACATTCGGTTCAAGACCTTACAAAATAACCCTGAGTGCAGTGCAAAGATGAGACTCCAGATGACTCTCTCTCAGCTGTGCTGGCAAAGCCAGACTGAGAAGAGCAAACACAGATGTAGCCGTAACAGAAGCTCTGTCAGCAGCTACGGTACTCTGGGAAGATCCTTTCCTCTCCGGGGTTTGGAGTTCACCAGCACAAGAAACTTGTTTTCTTCTCTCCCTCAAATTATCTCTTCTCTAATTCATCTCATTAATTAGAATTACCCTATGGGGTGACTCAGTAGTGCTGTATCAAAACACTTAAACAGCACAAACATAAAAATGTCTCCTTTTTCCTCGTGGTGTGTGGTCTATTCAAATGTCCAACACTTAACT